GACTGGCAAAGGAGACTCACGAATGCCAACAAGTTTGAGAGGAGTGATGTCATCTAGTCTAGAAAAGAAGTGTTAATGGGGGAGCTAGTAATTAACTTTGCTAGACACTGTGACACTTTTTTTTTTTTAATGTTCTTGAGGGCAGGTTTTATATAGAAAAAAATATTCAGAGTTTTGCTTTGATTTTCATAATCAGTATTTGGTTGATTTAAGTTAGAAATTTTAAAAAACCTTGTTCTTCCTTAGTGGCTTTAATTTCAGTGTGTGTACCTTGTTCTATTTATAAATCTAATAAATTTTAACAATCACTATGAGACTTTTTTTTAGTCTTCTTTTAAACACTTGATTAAATACTGTTAAACATTTTAAATAGCATTTATACATTTAATGGATTCTATTAATTTTAAACCACTTCAATCATTTAACAAAAATTTTCAAGTACTGAAAATTAATTCTTATAAGACTAATAAATTTAATTTATAATTATGGAGAATCTTAATTTCTTATATATATTCTAGTAAAACTGCATATAAATATAGTAAGTAATTTCAATTTAAAACCCAAAAGGTGAACTCAATTATTCTATTATACAGATTAAATTTAGAATTAAGTCTAACTGAATATTCCAAATCCTCTCAAATATCGCACATCACATTTTTGAAATACTAAATATGCCTAAATTTCTGATAATTAATGAGTTCCATTACCCATATATTTCTATGTTTAAATCTAAATATTCTGGAGGTAAAAATACGCTTTTTCACAAAGGAAACGTAGCTGTCATCAGAAGAGTCTTCAAGAATACTCTCTTAGATGTATAGAATTTGCATAGTTACCTGAGATACTGACCAGAGATACTCACATCTATGCCTGTGATGCCCTTTTGTAGTCCCTGCATCAAACCACTAAATGGTTGTGGAGATTTCAAAATCCATGTAGATTACATGTTTAAATTTGGATTGTTCCTAATTATTCTTTTCATAAGACTCTGCAACCCCATTCAGGTGGTTATATCACTAAAATTAATTTTCTTTGGTTCTTATGCTATTTAAAATAACTTCTAACATGTAAGTCTAAATACCTGTGGTCTTGATAGAAACCTACACTTTTATCATGTTTTTTCAATTTGTTTGGAACAGATGCCTTTATGGATCTAGATAACTCTTATAGCTCTACAGTGTCCCAAGGTTCCACTGACAGTGAGCGGACAGGGTGAGAGGAGGCAGAGAGAGACAGATGGTGAGTCATGGGTACAGAGAAAGAGAACTGACTACTGTCTTGGTAATTTTGAGAAGACTGAACAACTTACCTATAATTGCCTATGTGAGCAATTGAGATATATTTATTGTTTTAAGTTTATTTATTTATTCATTTATTTAGAGAGAGCAAGGAAGGGGCAGAGAGAGAGAGAATTCCAAGCAGGCTCCACATTCAGTGCAGAGCCCCATGAGGGGCTCAAACTCACGAACTGCAAGATCATGACCTGAGCTGAAATCAAGTGTCGGTAGCTTAACCAAAACTGAGTGGGCCACCTGGCACCCCAACTGAGATAGATTTAAAATCAACTATGTATGATTTTAAATTCAAGACTGTGAAGAGACAAACTTGCCATATTTGTATGTGGGAATGTTTGTATCTTTTCAATAATAATTATTTTTGAGGTTTATTTTTTAATTAGGTAAATATGCTAAATTAATCTAGGATTAGCATTTTGGAAGGTAAATCTTTGTTAATTTGTTGTTTTGGTTATAATTTGGGCCTCTTAGCATCCTTTAGTTTTTAGAATTGCCATCTAGTTTGTTTTTAAAATGGTGGTGAGAACATTTAATATGAAATCTACCCTTTTAACAGATTATGTATATATGTATGTGTTTATTTATTTATTTTGTTTTTTGCTTTTACTTTATTTCTTGTTTTTAATTCCAGTATGACTAATACACAGTGTTATATTAATTTCAGGTGTACAGTATACTGATTTAACAATTCCATACATCACGCAGTACTCATCATGGTAAGGGTGCTCTTAATCCCCAACACCTACTTCACCCATCCCCCACTAACATGCCCTCTGGTAATCACCAGGTTGTTTCCTATAGTTGTCTGTTTTTTGCTTTTTGTTTTTGGTTTGTTTGTTTGCCTCCTTTTTTCTAAAAGTATTCCTTTTTTAATGTTTATTTATTTATTTTTGAGAGAGAGAGAGAGAGAGGAGAGGGCAGAGACAGAATCCCAAGCAGGCTCCGCACTGTCAGTGCAGAGCCCAACGCAGGGCTCGAAACAGAGAACCATGAGATCATGACCTGAGCTGAAACCAAAAGTCAGACGCTTAACCGACTGAGCCACCCAGGCATCCCTGTCTCCTTTTTGCTTTGTTCCTTTGTTTTGTTTCTTAAATTCACATTTGAGTGTGATCCTATTGTATTTGTCTTTTTCTGACTGACTTATTTCACTTAGCGTTATACCCTGTAGATCTATCCATGTTGTTGCAAATGGCAAGATTTCATTCTTTTTTATGGCTGAATAGTACCCCATTCTATATATGTTCCAGCTCTTCTTTATCCATTCATTAGTCGATGGACATTTGGGTGGCTTCCATATCTTGGTCCCCTTTTAACAGATTTTTAAGTGTGCAAAACAGTAGTGTCATCGATACTGCACAATATTATCTATAGGTACAATTTTTTGCACCATATCTCCAGAACTTTTTCATCTTGCATAACTGAAATTTTATAGCCCTTGATTAGCAACTCCTTGGCAACCACTGTTCTATTCTTTGCTTCTCTGAGTTTGACTATTTTAGACATGATATAAGTGGAAACATGCAGCATTTTCCCTTCTGTGACTGGCTATTTCACTTAGTACAATGTTCATTAATGTTGTCACATATTGCAGTATTTCCTTCTTTTTCAAGGCTGAATATATCCCACTGTATGTATATACCACATTTTTTTTAACCCCTTCATTGATTGGTGGACATTTAGGTTGTTTCCACATCCTGGCTATGAACATTGCAGTGCTAATATCTCCTTGATACACTGCTTTCAATTTTGCTGGATTATATGGTAGTTTTTTAAAAATTTTTGAAGAACCTCCATACTATTTTCCATAGTGGCTGCATCATTTTGCATTCCCACCAACAGTGCACAAGAGTTCCAATTATTTAAAACAAAACAAAGATTTTAGCTTTTAGTTTCTAGTTTGATATAAACAGTGTAGTATCTCTCCATTCCATATTCCTCCTCTCTCTCAATAATACGGCATTTTAATTGGATTTTCGGTTTCCTCTCCCATATATTCTGTCAAGAACTTTGAAGACCTTTCTTTAGACATATGCTAACTCAATTCCCTTCAGTTTAGGTCTTAATATTTCTCTCAGAATTCCCATTATAGACCTTCAAAACTGCCACCTTTGCCAAAATTTTTCCCAATCAGCTTCATTCTTACCTTTATATTCCAAACAATTCGCAATAAGTTTTCACTTTACTCCATACAAATCACAATTACCTTGCTTCTTCTCACATAGAAATCACTGACATTCTCTGGTTATTCTGCTATGAATGGAATAAAAAAGCCCTTTCTGCTTCATGTGTCCAGAAGCAGCTTTCTCCTTATTCAAGTTCTTTAAGGGCCACTCCTTCTTCTTAAAAGGTTATTCATGACAAAAGTTGTGGTGCTATTTTCCAGAACAAATTTCAGCTTGAATGCACAGTATTTAATTCTTCTTTAAAAATTTTTTATTTATTTTTAGAGAGAGCATTAGAGCGCACGTGTGAGAGAGAATCCCAAGCAGGCTCTGCACTGTCAGCACAGAGCCCCAGGCCAGGCTTGATCTCACAACCTATGAGACCATGACCTGAGCTGAAATCAAGAGTTTGACACTTAACCAATTGAGCCACCCAGGCGCCCCTCAATATATTTAATTCTTATGTGAATCAGATACACATAGAAATCTTTGGTATGCTTAGAATAAAAATTGCATTTCACACCTATTCTTTAAAATATTATAAAGTTAGTAAAAACAGTAAAGGATATAATCTATGTATTGATATGAAAATCTTCATTCCTGAGGAAAACAAATAAATTTTAAAAATATAGGCATACAGGGGAGCCTGGGTGGCGCAGTCGGTTAAGTGTCCGACTTCAGCCAGGTCACAATCTCGCAGTCCGTGAGTTCGAGCCCCGCGTCAGGCTCTGGGCTGATGGCTCGGAGCCTGGAGCCTGTTTCCGATTCTGTGTCTCCCTCTCTCTCTGCCCCTCCCCCGTTCATGCTCTGTCTCTCTCTGTCCCAAAAATAAATAAACGTTGAAAAAAAAATTAAAAAAAAAAATATATAGGCATACAGTATTATATATAAATTCTTACGAAACAAAACGAAAAAGAGCAGAATACCTTTCCCATAGAAGAAAACAGCTTCTTATACTTTAAGAAAAACCACATTTGTAATATTTAAGTAAAATGCAGGGTTTTTTTCCTGTTAATTTTTATTACTAAATAAAACTTGCTTAGTATTTAAAGAAATGTACATAGAAGTATAGGAAATAAGAAACTCAAGTACATCTTTTACCCTCTTCTCTCCCTTCCCTCACTGTTACCACCCTCCAGAGGCAAATACTGTAAACATTTCGGTACAAACCCTACCCTCACATTTTTCTATGCATACACACAAGATTCTTTAAGAAATACAAAATGCGATGCTGCTCTGCCTTTATCTTTTTAAGGAAGGTTTTAATTACTGTATATAGGCGTACAGAAAAGTTCACAAGTCGTAACTGTTCAGCTTCACGTGGCTGGACTGCGGGTGTTGGCACTTTGCAAAAACTCAGGGAGCTGATTGGCTCGGAGTGAGCTAGCGCTGCTTTGGGGCGGGGAAACCGGAGCCCCGGACCGCTAGCGGAGCCAGCCTGCAGTAGCCCGGAGGCGTTCCCTGGCCCGAGGAGTCCTCCGTCCCGCCGCGAGGCTGCAGCGGGACCACAGGAGAGGCGCAGGTCTGGGGAGGCCCCGCCGCCCGCGCCGAGATGTGGAATCCCCTTCACGAAGCCGACTCGAGCTTTGCGGCTTGGCGCCGCCCGCGCTGGCTGTGCGTCGGGGCGCTGGCGCTGGCCGCCGGCCTCTTGATCGTCGGCTTCCTATTCGGTACGGGCGGGCTGGACTCGCGCGCGCCGGAGCCTACTGCGCAGCCCCGCGGTTCCCGGGACTCGCGGGCCGCCCGCCGAGCGCGGTCCTGTCCTGTGGCGCGTTCCCCTCCGGGGGGCGGAAAGTGGGGACCGGACCCCGCGAGTCAGCTGGGGGGGGGGGGCGCTGGGTTGGATTCTGGACAGTCACCCCGGGTAAGGAGTGGAGCGCAGAGCCCATGAAACTGGACTTCAGCAGGTCCCACCCGCTCGAGCCCTGTGAGCAATTGGTAAGTCTTAGGACGTACTCCCGCGGGTCAGCGGCGGCAGTTGAACCAGGTCGTCCAGGGAGCTTTGCAGGCAGAGACTCTTTAGTGTTGCCCGGGCTGCTTCATGTATACAGTAGGTAAACGTCCGGGCATTGCTGCACGGGACTCTTTTCCGTCCTCATACCGTGGTCCTTGCGAGTTACGTAATTAGGGGAGCACGTGGGAACTGGCTGTTACTGCCAGCGCTCTGAACAGATCTTTGCCTGTAGGTGTTCTGCGGCGTTCTCTGTGTACCGATTCGCAGACTTAGCCCAACTTCCATAAAAACTAGGGGCAGCACAGACCAGCTCAGACTCTTACATTTTCATTTGGACTCTGTTACTTCTTCGTGGCTTTGAACAGTTCACCATGTCTCTCTTCGCCTCCGTTTTCCAATCTTTATGATGAGGAGAATTTCTGGAATTTATTCGGAATAGCAAATGAAGTAGCACCAGAACCCTCTAGCCCAGTATTGGGGCGTTGGCACTTTTCCTAGTGCCTTCTTGGTGAGGAGATGCTTCTCATTGGACGTTGGTGTACAGGTCTAGCCTAATGTCGTTCACCCCTGCTCTGAATTCTGGATTCTCCTTCTGGGATTAAGAAGACCAGGCATAGACCAGCAACCTTGACTCAATCCAGCACTCTTTTTGGCTTGCTGTGTGACTTCTGGGGTGACTAAGACTTCTGAGCTTCACTCTGCTTATAACTAACGTATGGATGTTAGTAACCACCCCCACCCCCAGGGTTGTTGTGGGGGTTGCATGAGATAGGCGCTCAGTAATTAGGACACAGTTCAAGTTGAGTTTCAATGGTCTCAGCTGTAAAATAGAGTTGGGAAATAGAGTTGGTAAGGCTGGCACAGGGATTAAAAACTGCATTTCATGGTGGCAATCTTATTCTTCCTACTGTTGCCCACAGCCCCTTCCGTGTACACTGCTCAGTGGCTAACACCAAATAGGTTCTTTTCTTTTCTTTTCTTTTTAACGTTTATTCATTTTTGAGAGATGGGGGGGGAGGGGCAGAGAGTGAGGCAGACACAATCTGAGGCAGGCTCAGGGCTCTGAGCTGTCAACACAGATCCCCATGCAGGGCTCAAACTCACGAACTGTGAGAACATGACCTGAGCCACAGTTGGACACATAACCGACTGAGCCACCCAGGCGTCCCCTGAATAGGTTCTTTATTAGGACTTGTTAATTTTTTCCCTAAGATTCTCTGCTCTCCACTCTCCCACAGGCCTCCCACCTCTTCATTTTGTTCATTTTTTTCAGCTCTCAATTCAAGCATTTCATCCCCAATGAATACTTCCCTGATTCCACACTCTAACCCAAGTCCTTTTGTTTTATGTACCGGTGGAATTAAATTTCCATTTGCTGCCAACCATTTATTTCAGTATGTATATATGGGTGTGTGTATGTATGTATATGATTTGTAACTGGAAAGTTCCAAGAAAGCTGGGTGGGTGATTTTGGTAACCATTTTATGACAAGATCATATCATTTTTCCAAATAAACTCTGTAAAGATACCCCATTTCCCTCAGCAGTGGGCATCTTGCAAAGCCATTGGGAAAACTAAACTGTAGTTTCCTTGTAGCTTTCTAAAGTCCAACGTCTCCAGCCTGCTTCAACTGGAAACACAGACTCTCAATACATTTTGTTTGAGTTTGGGAAACAGAACAAATGACAAGTCTGAGTTTCCTTCACTAAAATAATTTATGTACTTGAAATAGATTCATAATTAATTCATTATAAACATTTACTAAGTGCTTATTCTCAGCACAGGGGCAGTCACTGGAAATAGAAGGTTTCAGAAGAAAGTAGGTGGATCTCCTTTTTTCCTTAACCTTTAAGAGATTTTCTTTATCCCCCTTAGTTGAAACATATTTTAGTAGTCCTTTTCTTATAAAACATTCTTTAAAGAATAACAGCAATACTCGTCATTGAAATTGTATTAAAAAATATGTTGTGACTGATCTGTATTTTCAAAGTGTTTGCATGATTATTTTCCAGTGGAAGTGGGCAAGAGAAATTACACTCCAGAAGACTGGACGTCATTGATAATTTGTGTTTTACATGATAGATACAGTAATGAGGAAAAGTAGGTCCTGTCAATGAGCTCATGTCTCATTCCTATATTTGCATATATTTTACAGGATGGTTTATAAAATCCTCCAGTGAACCTACTAAGATTGTTCCACAGCCTAATGTGAAGAAGGCATTTTTGGATGAATTGAAAGCTGAGAACATCAAGAGGTTCTTATAGTAAGCATATACTTGAGAGTTTATATGGATAATTTGTTGGAAAATTGTTACTCTGTTTGGAAATATTGATCCAATATTTCATTTATAGGAGCTGAGTTTTTAAAAGAAGTTTTATTTGTTGAAAATCTTGTATCATATTTCATTTAGAGAGGATTATACTTTAAGCTAAACTGTATCACAAGAGCCATTTTTGAGGAGGACCCAGCATACTTGTCTGTGAAGGACCAGCCCCTGTCACAACTACTCTGCTCTGCTATTGTAGCAAGAAGCAGCCATTGAAAATACATAAATAAGAATGGCAGTTTCAATAAAACTTTATTTATGGGCACTATAATTTGAATGTCATATAATTTATAGGTCACTATATATATATATATACACACACACACACACACACACACATATATATACACATATATGTGTGTGTATATATATATACATACACATACACTACCTATTTAAAATATAATAACCATTTTTAGCTTGTGGAGTGTACAGAAACAAGTTAACTGGATCTGGTCAGGGGAACATAGTTTGCTGACTGCCGTTTTAAAAGACATTATGTTCTAGTCAAGAGAATAAATCTGGATTTTGGACTTGGATATACTTGAGTTTAAATTCCATCTTTGCCTATTGACAGTAAAATCACTAGGGGTGAATACTTAACTTTCCTGAGCTTGCATTTCCACCTCTATAAAGTGGGGACCATGATATTGTTGTGACAAGGATGATTAAAGAGCATATATGTGACAGGGTTTGCAAACTAGCTCCCTAGTTCCTGAAATAGCTATCTGTAGTGTAAAGCAAAAGATGTAAATGAGTAAACTTAAAGAGTATTTGCAAAGCAACTAAAAATAAAACACTTGTGTAGGATGATTGTATGTAATTGATTAGAACACTTAGGTTTTTCAAAGCAGAATACTTGACGTCCCTATTAGTGATTGAAGGATTCCTTAGTGGATAAAAGTTATGATTTTATATAAAGGGAAGTTATGTATATATACACATATATTTACGTGCACACATATAATAAGCATAAGTGTGCACACATGATCCTACATACATATGTCTGTTTTAATTACAATAGAATTAAAGCCATAAATAAACATTCACTAGGGCACCTTCCAGGTGTTTGGAAGGGCCATTTCAAGTGAGAGACCCTGAAGCTTAAATTTGGTGGAAATTCCTCCTCTGACTCTTGGACTTACTTCACTGTAATTATGTATAATAGATAAAATAAAAGTGGAGGTCCGGCAAAATACAATCTCCTTCCTAGACAGAGCTGCTGTTGCTGCTGCTTCCTTCTTCCTTTCCTAACCTGTGACATAGACTGACCAGCGAAGAAGAAAAATGAATGCTTTAATTTCTCTCTCTGGACCCTGAATAAAATGGAAGCAGTTTCTTAATTATTCCTCCTTGACCCTGACCAAGCTCCTCTGTTTGGAACTCAAGGAGTTTCATCATTAGCACAAAAGAAAGAGATTAAAACTTGATATTTTAGTTGGATCAACAACTTACTTGCAACACACCTCTTAATTGATTAAAATAATAAAAATTAAGAGCTGAAGTTTAATATCAGCTACCTAACTGAGCCACAGATCTTTGGGAAGTAGTGAGGGAACAATATTCTCCCCATATACAGATGAGAAAATGAAGATTTAGCCAGGATTACACAATTTAGTGGCAAAACCTCAAATATACTCCTTGTAGGATTTTATGCCAGTTAATTTATTTATCATTGGAAATGGATTTTTTCCCACTCTTCATTAGGATCTGCTTTGCTCCAGATGAGTGGGTTCTAGCCCTGCTTGTAGCACAGTGTAGTATCGTAGTTGGTAATGACAAAACCATTCCAAGGAATTTCACTCATAATAGCCAGGTCTGATAATAATCCATCCTCCTCCCTCCCTCCCTCCCTCCCTCTTTCTTGGTGGTGGGGAGAGCAGGTTCAAGACTCCCCATTGGCAACTGTTCTTTTTTCTTTTTAAAAAACATTTTTTTGTGTGTAAACTCTATCCTCAACATGGGGCTCGAACTCACGATGCCGATATTAAGAGTCACATGCTCTACTGATGGAGCCAGCCAGACACCCCATTTCTTAGATGCAGGGACAGAGTTATCACTGTGACTTCAGAAAATATGCATAATCTGCATCCATTTTACTTATGTTACAGTTTGCCATCTGTGTAATGTAGAAAAAAATAGCACCATGCTGGCTCTTTTTCTCTTTTCTCTGCAGGTATACGTTGAAGGGATATAGAGACACCTCAGCTGCCTGTTAAGATTCTGTATTTCTGTTACTACATTTTGTAAATACGCATTAGAAACTTTGTGTAAGAGGTTGTATGGGAGCAAGAATGACCTGTGCCCTTCAAGGTCCTTCTACCAGGACTAAGAATCAAATTGACACAAACAGATTAACAGGAGGAAATCAAATTTAATAGCATACGCACAGGGATTCCACACAGACATGGAAATTCCAAAGCAGGACAAAATGAGTATACATGTCACCCTGAACTAAGAAGTGGGCAGGGGTCTGAGACTTCAGGTGAAAGAAATGTGCTTCACAGGGCAATGAGAAAAACAGATGTTTGGTAATAGATGTGTGCCCTGCCTATACAGAGGGATCACTCAGATCAAATTTATCTCTGCTAGTAACCCTTATTCGGGGAAAGACCACCAGTTTCGATTCTCCTGTGTTGTTAAGGGAGGGACAAAACTTTCTTTTGAGCCTGTAGGGTCTTGATTGCCTTCAGCTCAGAATAATCTTCATGCCAAAATGGCCCATCTTGGGGCAGCCCACCTTTGGCCCCTAGGGTGTTAAGCCCTTAAACATTTTTTGAATGAGGATTTTAATACCATCTTTGTAAACATAACTTAAATTATTTTAATGGAGTTATAAAAATTAACAAAAACTCCATTTTTTTAAAAAAAATTGGAAGTTATTCTTGGCAGTTGATTTTTCAGTCAAAAATTCAGATACACAGTAAAATTAAGTATTTGTATTAAGTAAAATTAAGTATCATAGCCATGTTGCCTATTTATTAGTGTTTTTTTTTTTAAACTCACTATACGGATGGACATGTGCTAATTTTAGGAAAACCTACATATTCAGAACCAGAAGTTCATGAAGCTCAAGAAGTTCATGATCTAGAAATAAATATCTTTTTATGATACGTAATGCATTGTCATATGGATTTTTTTTCCTTTAAGTGGTTTAAGATGAAAATACAAATGAGCTGAATTTTCAGAGAAACAACACATTTCCACAAAAGAAAAATTTAAACAAAAAGCACCACTCTATAGATATATTAAATGAGAGATTAGTAAACTCATGACAATATTTTTGGTGGCTAAAATTTTGGCTGCATAGTTTATTAATTAAAGATATTCCTGGTCAGTCTAATTATCATCATTGATTTTTAAGTGTATTGCTATGCATGATGAATGGAGTACAAGAGATTCAGTCTGAACTTGTGTAAATATTTTTAGATTATTCCTTAATGAAGATACTTTATACAGGTTGCTAATCAAAAGGTTTCTCACTTGGCTCTAACTTTCAGTCTTTAAAAATAAATGTGATTATCAATCATTCTTGGCACGTCACAGCTTGGTATTTTGTAGGAAAATAATTTTTACCTCCCAAATCTATTTTACACAGTGAAATAAAGAAATAATTCCATAAAAGTTATAAGATGCATGAGTCTTAAGGAAAGATATGATACTTTCGTCATTTACTATGGGGACACGTCCAAAGGATCGCACATAACGATTCTCTACAAAGATCAGTTTCTCCAGTTTTTCCTTGAATGAGTACAAATTACAGAATGAAACCTTCAAAATACACTTTGAGGATCTATTTGATGCAATAATAGTGCTGCTTTGTTTTTTTTTAACGTATCACATTTCAAAGCAATTTTTAGATGTAAAGCTGCCTTACTTGGTTGTTCATTTGGGATGCTGGCTGACTAAACATTAATTTCTAACCATTTTCAATTTTTGTTCACCAGTAATTTTACACGGATGCCACATTTAGCAGGAACAGAACAGAACTTTCAGCTTGCAAAGCAAATTGAATCCCAGTGGAAAGAATTTGGCCTGGATTCTGTTGAGTTAGCCCATTATGATGTCCTGTTGTCCTATCCAAATAAGACTCATCCCAACTACATCTCAATAATTGATGAAGACGGAAATGAGGTAAAAAAAAAAAAAGGGAGAGATAAGAAACTACCCTCATCTCTATTTTTTTCAAGTACCTTTTATGAAAGAATGGCCCTATACCATCTCTAATTATTGATAGAAATTAATATTATTGAAACTTGTGAATGTTTTTCATATCTCATTAACAGTATCAGCTATTTTCCTATGATGTTTGAATTTAATGTGATGTTGGAAAAATTATGAGAAATTAATGCTTGATGACAGTTGTATTTTCTGTTTTTTTAGTATTGCATACTAATATATAGTAATATATTAGTACTTCCAAGCAACTAAAATAAACACATATTTGATAGGTTCAGACTGTAAAAGAAACTGCGTAAGTTTGGGGCTATCAGGAAACTCAGGACACCTGGTGTACAGTTTGAGTCATTAGGTTTTTACTGGTATTTAATGATATGTCTCCTAGGATCATGTGTTCAGCTCTGTGCCCAGAACTTGGATGTGGCATTTGAAGGAGAAGAGTTTGGATGGCAAGTCTGTAGAAGGATATCTAAAGAATATACAATCTTGTTTGCAAGTTAGGGTACATACTTGAGAAAGAAGAGATAATACAAGTAACTGAGGTATATCTCATCGTGATATATATTCAATATGAAGGCTTATAAAATAAAACTCATACCTTTAATCCTATTTAGCATACCTTAGTTTTAAAGCTACTATATCTTAACTAAAATAACCTCTTTTAATCTAGATAGTTTCCTTCAGCCCTTTTGTTAGCAGGGCCTTCTAAATATGTCCAGCTTGATCAGTGAACTGAAAATGTCATGTGATTTAAATATGTATAGATTTAAAAAAATTTCATAATATGTCAATCACCTTCTATCAACTAATGAATCAATCTTTTAATGGCTAATATGCTGTTAGTTTTGTAGCCAGTCATATAATCCCATGCTAAATTTCCTAACATGATTCAAAATTTTCCATATTAGCTACTTTTTAAAATTATACTAGTTAATAGTTTATCTTTTTAAAATATTAATCTCAAAATTTAAAAAGTATTTTTAAAAAAGGTGTGTAGAATATCAGTGTATAGCATATGGTCCCATAACATTTGTTAAATAAGGTGTCATATTTATCTATATATAATCAAGTACTAGGCAGTCTATAAAAGTGTGTTTAGGGAAATTGTTTAATAATAAAATAAAATATTATGTTAAAAAATATATACATATATTTAAACCTTTGTCTTGATCTGTCAAATTTGGGATTATCTATATACAATGAGGAAAATAGCAAACTTGCAGTTCTTTTTTCCTTCTTTGCTTTTATTATTCCATTTCATTATTTGTTTTTGCTATTATAAGCATTTATTAAATTCTTCAAGCCTGTCACATAACATAAAGGTATCATGTAGAAATTTCATTTCGGAGATTTTCTTGAATGGTGTCAGCTCTCTCATTTGGGTTCCTAGACCAATTTCTACTGAGATGGCGAGTGTTTTCCCCACGCATTCAATAAGCAATTCTCAGACACCAGTTGGGTTGTTCTAAAATTCTATTCAATTCTGACACTATTTACCTGGGGATTGTGTCAGATTCCATAGGTAAGAAGTCAGTCTTCTAAAAGTGTCCCCTTCCACACTCATTCAGGATGCCACTTGAAAGCTTGGGTTGTTACTTGTGTTTCTGACCTACCTACTGGCTATAGACTGGAAGTTCCAAAGGCTCCCTCCAACTCAGGGTGCCAAGTGTAAGCAGGTTGTTACCTGTACTTCTGACAGATTGGGAGAAATCAGAGGTTCCCATGATCCCCTCCTCAGGTCTGATCAATTTGCTAGAGTGAATCAACATTTATAAAAACATTTTACATTTTAGATTACTGAGTTAGTACAAAGGACAGTAAATGACATGAAGCAATAGCCAGATGAAGAGATGCATAGAGCACAGTATGTGGGAAAGAGCACAGAGCTTTCATGCCTTCTCTAGGAGTGCCAGTCTCCCCACACTCCCATGTGTTCACCAACCCAGAAGCTCTCTGAACCCCGTCCTTTGAGTTTTTATGGGCTTCATTACATAGGTGTGATGATTAAATCTTGGCTATTGGTGGTTGATCCAACTTCCAGGTCCTCTCCCTTCCCTGGTGGGAGGTGGGCAATGGGACGGAAAGTCCCAAGGCTCTAATCACAAAGTTGGTTCTTCTGGCCCACCTGACCCCATCCTTAGGTGGGGTCAAAAGTTACCTCGTTAGCCTAACAATAGACCCTTTGTTGCTCTCATCAGGAAATTCCTTTTAGGAGGTTTTAGGAGCTCAGTGCCAGAAAAGGAAAGAGGATCAAATATGTATTTATTGTAAATCACAATATCACACTGCCTAAAGCTTCCTAATTTTTTAAAAGCTATATCATTGGTTCATCTTCCTTTTTATTTTCATCCAAGTACCCCTGAACGAAGAGTCACAGACTTCTCCAAGTGCCTTGCTTCCTCCCTATGTCCCTTTCCTGAAGCAGTTGCTATTCAACCGTTGACACAAAATAAACAAACCTTTTAAAAACTTTTAAAGGAAAAGGAAAAGAGTTTTATTTATTTTTTTTTTTTAATTTTTTTTTTTCAACATTTATTTATTTTTGGGACAGAGAGAGACAGAGCATGAACGGGGGAGGGGCAGAGAGAGAGGGAGACACAGAATCGGAAACAGGCTCCAGGCTCTGAGCCATCAGCCCAGAGCCTGACGCGGGGCTCGAACTCACGGACGGCGAGATCGTGACCTGGCTGAAGTCGGACGCTTAACCGACTGCACCACCCAGGCGCCCCAAGGAAAAGAGTTTTATTTGAGCCCAAGTTAAGACAGCTGTGCAGGATACGCAATCTTGCCAAAAGCAAAAGCAGCATTAGGGGAAAAAAAGAAGAGTATTAATCATATAATAAGAAGGTAGAAGGGCTTTAAATGCTGTATATAAGTAATTAGAAAAAAACTTAAAGGAAAAAACTGGTTAAAAACATAGTATGTCAGACTAAATAAAATCAGCTGTGTACTATTTTATAAGGAGTGACTTGAATGTAACATCACAGCAAGTTTGAAAGTAACAAAACAAAAAGAAATACCAAGCAAATACTGACTTAAAAAACTTGTCTATCTTGTAGTCAATTTTAGGGCAAAGTCAAAAACCTTATTAAGAGATAGAGAGCGTTACTACATAAGTGTTTCAATTCATTTTTGTCTGTTAAAGAAAAAGATACAACAGGCCCAAAATGGAGTTAATTGTACTAAGCCCCACTTCAGCAAACCAAGATTTAATACCTAACCTAGTACAGTTTCAGCCTCTCCCAGGAATGTAGCCTTTGACTAGTCAATTTGGAATTACCTGGTCAGCACTAATGAGGTAATCCACCTGATTGACCCCTTATGTTCCCCAAAGGACAAAGATCAATAAGAAAAAAAAAAAAAAAATACAAGGAATGCATAAATAAATAGTATAAGGAGTAAAAAAGAGAGGCATATCTCTAGATGTTGCCAAAATTCAAAAAGATAAAAAAGTACTAGGAAGAAGTATGCCAACAATTTATAGCTGAGATGAAATGCAAAATGGAAAAAAAACATGAAAATTAACATAAGAATGCACTTTTAAAAATCCAAAGAGTTTTAGAACATTAAAGAAATTAAATCCGTAATTCAAAAATTCCCACAACTCAAAGCATCAAGACCAACTGGTTTTCCTTTAAGTGTGAAAGATTAAAGTGAAAGATCATTTTTGTAAAGATCATTTAAATACAGTACAACACAACTTATTTCAGAGAATATTAAAAATTCAACTCATTTTTAAGGCAAGTATAATCTAGAAATTATAACCCAACAAAGACATTGCAAAAATACTAGCCAAATGTGTAATAAATATATATATAGATAGATAGATAACATAATTATCATTATGAAAAAGAAAAACGTATATACTTATCTCAAAAGACATCCCCCCCCAAATATTTAACACAATGAAACATATATTCATGACAAAAACTCTTAGTAAACTTGGAAAAGAAGTTAGTTGACATTACCTGATAAAGGTCACTGTAACTACCAAAATTGATGGTGAGACACTGAAAACATCCCCTTCAAGTTAAGCATATCTGTCACCACTTTTCAACATTGTACTTAATTAAGGTCCTGGCCAGTGCAGTGGAACAAAGGGTAATGGGAGACCAGGAGTGAACCTGTGTTGACTAACACAGTGACCTGCGTTATACTAACTAGAGCACCAAATATCTGCCTCTCCCGAGGCAATCTAAAATGAAGCCAAATCAACCACTACCCTCCAAAAATCCCCGCATTCTCCATATAGCCCATAATTTTTCCATGAGCCACATAAGGTACAAACTCATCTGAATCATTGGGCAAGATCACAAAAGAAACTGTAGTATAAAGTACAGTACAAATTCATATAGAAACACAGTCATTACATCAGCAAGTCTTTCAGCCAGTGGAGTATTCAAGTTGTTTTCATTCAATTTGCCTTTATGATAATCTCCAGTTTTACAGCATCACCAAATAAGTGAATTTTAGACCACGTTTATGAGTTATTCTAACAAGTAGGAGACACTTAAAAAAATTGTTTTTTTTTTTTTCAACGTTTATTTATTTTTGGGACAGAGAGAGACAGAGCATGAACGGGGGAGGGGCAGAGAGAGAGGGAGACACAGAATCTGAAGCAGGCTCCAGGCTTTGAGCTGTCGGCACAGAGCCAGATTCAGGGCTCGAACTCACAGACCAGACCGTGAGATCATGACCTGAGCTGGACTCAGATGCTTAACCAACTGAGCCACCCAGGCACCCCTGAGTGGGAGACATTTTTTAAAGTCAAGGAAACAACTTTTTTTGGTGACTTTATCAAAAGGAGATTATATACCAGAGAACATTGTTCTCTTTCCAAAATTCACTAATATAGCCTCAAATTATGTTTTCTGAATATAACCAAAATAATTTTGGTCCACAAATCTCTATTAACCTTTTGTGACATAAAAAAAAGGCAGTATATAGTTCAGTCTATATCATATGTTATCTCTACACAAAGATAAAATAACGTGTTTATATATTTAAAACATTTCTGGTAGAATCTATAGAACACTGGTCTTATATGTTGCCTGTGGAAGGAGGAACTTGTGTGTGTTGTGCAGGAGAACAAAAATTGACAGTTTACCACACAGCTCTGCTCTGAACAGTCACAATAATTAAGCTACACTGGGAGATGGTGATAGTACAAAACCATTTGCAGGTGGGACAGAAGGACAAAAACAGAGCTGAGCTGTCACAATGTCAATAGAGAACACCTGAATCTGAAACACAGGCAATATAAGCTTGTGATTTAAAGAAATAGAAGTGAATATATAATTCAACTTACGGTTGTGATAAAGGGAATTTTCAACTCTTCATGTTTGTAAGCTCTGTCTCTGGGCTCCCAGAGAAGCTATACTTTAACATTTACTAAGATCAAAATGACTCAGCAAAACCTTAAAGTATGGCTCCATTTCTGCCCCAAGCACACACCGTACATCTGCTTTGTTAAAAATAAATAAGTAAATAACCAAAGAGAAGCATTCCAAACATAAGGATTAGAAAAAGAAAGAAACCTCCCTGGTTCCCACTAGATTAAAACTATAGAGACTTGCACATACTAAAAATGCAAGATAAAGTCTGTAACTTTCTGGAATGTCCTAGGTCATGATGATTTCTAACTGTTTTTCCCTTTTTTGTGTGTGTGTCTTGGGTGGTTGATCTTATTAGTTTTATTTTTTAGTAGTTTGGAAACTAAAACATCTGATCCCTACTTAACAATGTCATAATTCAATCAATATTTCTACAATACAAACATCTTAGAATACTTTCACTTTGGTCATGCACTATCAATTTATACCCAGAATTCTAATTCAACCTTATTCTTTTCAACTTGAATAATACTTGCTTTTATTATTACATACAGTCCATATTTATTCATTTTTTTCCATATATTTGCGATAACTTGCTTACCAATCTTTGAATCATATAAGAGCTTCTTTTAGAGGCTTTGTTTTGTTGAATGATACCTTTAGAAGTTTTCTTTGTTTTAAGTGAATGTCTGTTGGCTCCAAACAGTTACTTTTTGGTAGAAAATGTGTCTTTCATTTCATTTTCAAAAGGAAAGATGTTTTATGCATTATGCATTACATCATTGAGATACCAGCTACCAATCTAATTTTTATTCTGTTTGGGTATCTTGTGTAATCTCTCTTTTGCAACTTTTAACATTAAGTATTATATTGAATATTACAGTTTAACTATGATGGGTCTGGATGTAGGTTATTTTTTAGTTAGCTTGGTTAGGATTCATTGGACAGCCTGAATCCTAGAGTTCATAGTTTTTATTAGTTTGGAAAATTCTTAGTCATTATATATTCAAATTTAGCTCCTTCACATTCTTTCTATTCTCTTCTTTTACAAGTCCTCATATATACATCCAACAGGTTTATCTCTAGTGTATCTTCAATCCTGAAGGTTGTTGTATTTTGGAGACCCAGCTTTATGCAGGGGTCTCTTGTAAGACTCTATTATTTGGACCATCTCTAGACTTTCTTTAAACATCGTGTGCCCCTCTTTTGGGGTCCCAGTCTCCATTAGATTCAACTTTAGTGCAACCTCTCAGGATTCCCGAGAATCCTGAAAATCCTGGAATGTGCCACTTTTTTGGCTTCTGAGTAGTCCTTACTCCTCCCCCCCCCCCAATTCAATGGTATGCTTAAAAACTTAATAATTTATTTTTAGTTCAAGTGTGAATGTTGTTCAGTGTGTCTAGGTACTATTAGATATGGATCTTCTTGAATGTATTTTTTTATTGAAATAAATTTAGTATGTAATTTGTTGCTAAATAATCATCTTAGCAATGTTATAAGGGACTAAATTTATAATACAATGCTACTTTTTATTTGGGTATTAACATTTCCTCCTAAATCAAACCTGGTGCTTTATAGGTCCTCTCTGGGTCTATAGTTTATTCTTCTGATGAAATCCTCACAACTTCTAGCACAGTGCTGGATATTTGATAAGTATTTGCAAAATACTGAAGGATTGATTAACCCTATACTGAAAGGGAAGAATATACACATTTTTTTCCTTGTGTTTGACTTGTAGCAATCAAACTTTACCTGATTTACTTTTGATTATCGTATTTTGTTTTTCTAGATTTTTAACACATCATTATTTGAACCACCTCCTCCAGGATATGAAAATGTTTCAGACGTTGTGCCACCTTTTAATGCCTTCTCCCCGCAGGGAATGCCAGAGGTAAAAATGCAATATGATGAAACAAAAATAACAAACAGAATTCCTCATATATGCAGGCAACAATTAAACAGTTATAAGATTTTTCATATACTCCAAATTTACCCCTTTTTTACAGTTAAGAAACTAGAATTTCTTTATAAGAAAAGGACTATTAGTTTTGTTGACCGTTTTTAAAGATAAAATTTACTCCAATGAGATGCAGAAATGCAAAATGTACATTTACTGACTTTTGACAAATGTGTATACCTATGTAATCCAAACCCCTTAACACACAAAATATTAGTCACTTCAGAATGTACCTTTATGACCTTTCTCAATCGGTATTACACAGACACAGTCAGTCATTCAATTTGTTTTTGCCACCATTGATTAGTTTTGCCTATTCTAAAAATTCACCTAAACAGAATTGTATAGCATGTAATCATTTGTGTCCAGTTTCTTTCACTAAGCATAGAGTCTATGAGATTCCTGCGTTTTAGCATTTAGCTCATTCTTTTTTATTGCCAAGTAATTTTCATTGTATGAAAATACATTAATTACTACTGTTGCATGGCAGTGATTAGTTTTCAAAGAATTTGAATAAGAGTATTGTTGCCATTTTCAAATGGGGAGCCTGAATGTCCATTCTAGAAAATTTTGTGTGGTCTACTCAATAAAGCAGTGTATTTAACTATCATCTGAAATTCTACAGTCAATCTGATTCTTGTGTGGTACTTTGTTGTTTAGAAGAAAGCTAAGAAAGGTAAATTTGAAAGAGTTGAATATAATTTATTAATATATTTTAAAAATTATCTTTCCCATTATAATATTTGACAGCAAGTAGATTCAATTTTGGATATACTGGGTTGAGATGCCTAGGATATATGGTATATTTACGAGAAGTTGCTGATTGACAGTTGGGTATATTGAAATACCACCCGATAGAAGGGTAAGAGTTGGCTATTATTGGAAACATCCTAAGTAAAAAAATTGTATTTAGAGTTGAATATTTAAAAGTCTATCTTCACCAATCAATGAGGATTTAATCCAAGAACATAAGGATTATTTAATATCAGGCAACAGTGCCATATTTTTTAATAAGAGAGAAAAATACTCGTTTTTATTTTCAGATGTATTGGCTTTACTGGCTTATTTATAATTTAAAAACACAAGCTTTGAATCAAAGAATATTTTCTATTGATTTCATGAAACTTATTTCAAATGAATAGTTTACATCTTACTTAATGGTATAATATTAGAAAAATTCTTTCTAAAATTGGCACATAAATAGAATGCATACAATTGTAATTATTTTATGGTTGACCTGAGATAGCAATGTGGCATTTAACAATTGGAAATGAAGAGAGAGTGTATTTTATTTTATTTTCAGTTTATTTTTAATGTTTATTTATTTTTGAGAGACAGAGAGAGAGACAGAGTGCGAGAGAGGGGAGGGGCAGGGAGGGAGACACAGAATCCAAAGCATGCTCCAAGCTCTGAGCTGTCAGCACAGAGCCAGATGTGGGGCTCGAACCCATGAACTGTGAGATCATGACCTGAGCCGAAGTCGGACCCTTAACCGACTGAGCCACACAGATGCCCCAAGATAGTATATTTTAGATCTCACGTGTCCTGACATCACTTAGACTTGTTCCTCAGGTTAAGGCGCCTTACCATCATGGGCCCATGTATGATCCCTAATTTAAATGTATTTTCTTTTCCTTTCATGTCTCATCCCTATCCTTGATCTCATTCCTTTCCCCTCCCCCCCAGTGTATTTGTGTCCTTAGCAATGTACACAGTGTTCTTAAAAACATATGACTTTATTTTGTGTTTGATGTACTTTAAATTTCTATAGGTAGCATTATATTTTAGGTCTTACTTCATCTCTTACTATTTTCAATCAACGTCCTTTAAAAAATCTACCCTGTTGCTTTGTCAGAGCAGCTCATCACTTTTGCTGTTGCCTATCATTTCATGATATGTGCACACCACATGTAACTTACCCATTCTTTTAGTTGCCAACACTGCTTTACTTTTAAGTCCTCATGACCACAGTGTTGCAACAAGTAACCTCATACGTGTCCCTGTTTGGGCTTGCCAGGGTGTCTCTGTTCATGGTAAACCAGGTATGGGATTGCTGTTTTATAGGAATATTTAATTTCCCGACGTCCAGACTGTAGCAGTTTATTGCTTGCACTGACAACCTTTTTTTATATATTTTCATTAACACTTGAAATTATGTAACTTTATAATTTTTGCCCATCTAAGTGTTTTAATTTATTTTAAATCACATTTCTCTGATTACCAGTGAGGTTGCTTATCTCTATACATAGTTATTTATTAGCTGTTCTGGTTTTTATTCTGTGCAAGGACTACGTATAGCCTTCTCCTTTTCCTGTTGAATTTCCAGCCTTTTTTCTTATTGAATTTAAGTATTTCTTAAATATTTTAATTATTTATTCAATATTGGTTTAAATATTATAAGTATCTTCTAATTTTTCACCTATTCATGTTATCTAAGCTTTCCTTTATTGAAAATATATCTTTAATTTTGATATTGCCCAATTGTTCTTATGTTTTTAAACTTTGGGTTTTCTTTATTAATTCTCATTATTTACAGTGATAAATCTGTATAACCAGAATATATAAAAAATACTAATACATAATTATTTAAAAATAGCATTAATATTATCAGCTTGGAGTTAAATATATATGGACAGATAGTATATAATAAGAAATATAGCAAAAAATTTTAATTTAAGATAGCCGTAAAATCTAAAATATACTTTAAAAGTCTTCAGTGAGTGTGAAGTAGTTCAAAAACACTGAAATTTATTGAGCAATGAAAATACTATGTATAAAGAAACAGATTATGGGGGCACCTGGGTGGCTGAGTTGGATAAGCATTCTACTTAGGCTCAGGTCAAGGTCTCGCAGTTCCTGAGTTTGAGCCCCACTTCAGGCTCTGTGCTGATAGCTCAAAGCCTAGAGCCTGCTTCAGATTCTGTGTCTCCTTCTCTGCCCCTCTCTCATTCATGCTCTGTCTCTCTGTCTCTCTCTCTCAAAAGTAAACTTAAAAAAAAAAGAAACAGATTATGTTTCTAGATAAGAAGACAGAGTGTTATAAGGAGGAAATTATACCCACATTAGTATGTGGGCTTAATGTATAATCAGTTAAAATCCCCAAATACTTTTTGGACTTTGACAGAATTATTCTACTCCTAAGAGTCATAGAGATTATTAACTCATTTCTTTCAAGTAGATTTAAACTCTTCTAGATTAATGGAAAGCTAGAAGGATCCCCTGATTCCGCATGAGATTCTTGTTTGTGTTCAAATATTAGATGAATTTGCGGCTGGTGTGCTTCACTGGGTCACCTGTAACTCAGCCAGTGCAATGTTAGTTCTTTTTAAAATTATATATGTCTGTATGTGGGCTTAATATTTTTCACTGTAAGTTATCTTCAGATCTACATCTGAATTCTCCGGAGTGTCAAGTACTGGGCTCTGCTTTAGGCTATTTGAAATGAGCAATTTGACAATGTCTAATAAAAATATAATCTAAGGGTGTCTGGGTGGCTCAGTCAATTAAGCATCCAACTCTCGGTTTTCGGCTCAGGTCATGATCTCGGGCCTTTCTGGGTTCATGCCCCGTTTTGGGCTCTCTGCTGGCAGCATGGGGCCTGGTTGGGATTCTCTCCTCCGCCTGTCTTTCTGTTTCTCCCCCACTCCCACCATCTCTCTCAAAATAAACTTTAAAAATATATGTAATCTAATTTTTGGTTTTCAAACTTCAGCACATAACATGATAATTGAGAAGGCTTATAAAACACAGGTTCTGGTTCCCACCTCGCTGAGTTTTGGTAGGTCTTCATAGTTTGTTCCCAGTAAGACTCCAGGTCTTGATTCTGTGGGTTTAACAACTATACTTTGGGAGCCGCATGTCTTTCCTCCCAGTTCTGTTTCAGCTAACAAGAACAGGAAGATGGAAGCTTGAAAGACACGGAAAATTCTAGGCTGACAGTGCAAGATTGTATTTATTCCCAGTCATAGAACAATGGTACAGTGTAAACTTTACAAGAAGGTCATTGTCTGAAAACAAAGCTTTTTTCTAAATAACAGTGACAACTTGCATTTGTGAAGTGCCCAGAGGACATATCTATCACACTTGTGTTCATTTTCAAAGTGTCCTGTCATTTTTAAACCAATATCTTCTCCAATCCCACCTCCATCATAATTTGTTCTGTGAGGATTACAGATTTATCAAAAGATAGCCACAATTTATAGACATTTTAGGAAGTAGTGTCCCCAAAGTTAGTGATATTAAATAGAGATACATTTCAGGTAGGACACTGACACTAAAACAAAATTCACTGAAATCAGATTGGTTAATGTCTCTGTACTCACAGAATAAAAGCAAGTTCCAGAGAAGGCTAACAATTATAAATGAGACATACAGTGCTATCATTAATAGTGTATTAATATTGCATTGTCTGAAGAAGAAATACAAGAGCTAAAAGTAATCCCTTTACTGAAGCAAAGATTCAGATGTCACCTTCTCAGTAGACATTCCTCTTTTTATTAACATTGCACCCACCCAAGTACTAGTTACTGTTTGCCTATTCTATTTAAACTTTGAAAAAAATTTTGACAGCACTTATCACTTTTTAATATACCATATAATTTACTTACTTTTTAATTCATTATTATCTTTCTGCTTTTCACATAAATGTAAGTTCCTCCAAGGACAGGGATTTACTGTATCCCTAATTTTTTTTTAATGTTTATTTATTTTTGGGAGAGAGAGACGGAGTGTGAGCAGGAAAGGGACAGAGAGAGAAGGAGATGCAGAATCCGAAGCAGGCTCCAGGCTCTGAGTTGTCAGCACAGAGCCCAACACAGGGTTCGAATCCATGAACTGTGAGATCATGACCTGAGCCAAAGTCAGATGCTAACCAACTGAGCCACCCAGGTGCCCCTCTTTTTAAGTTTTTTAATTAATTTATTTATTTTTGAGAGAGACATAGAGAGCAAGTAGAGGAGAGGCAGAGAGAGAGAGAGAGAGAGAGAGAGAGAGAGAATCCCAAGCAGGCCCCACACTGCTAGCATTGCTAAGTGCAGAGCCCAAACCCTGGTTCGAACCCAGGAACCATGAGACCATGACCTAAGCTGAAGTCAAGAGTCAGGTGCTTGACCAACTGAGCCTCCTAGGCACCCCAACAAATGACCTTCTTAATACCCATCACCCAATGTAGCCCATCTTCCACCAATCTCTCTCCATCAACCCTCAGTTTGTTCTCTATGGTTAAGAGTCTCTTGTGGTTTATTTCCCTCTCTCCTTTTCCCCTCCTCCCCCACCCCTTCCCATATGTTCATCTGTTTTGTTTCTTAAATTCCACATATGAGTAAAAGCATACATATATGTATTCTTAATCAAGGGAAGTTGTGCAGTGATCACGAAAAGACTTCCAAGCATTCCCAGATTCTAGGTGACAGAAACCGAAGTGGAATTTAGTATGCTAAATATTCATTAAGAAGCATTCTCTTGGGATCAGTACCTGTGTCAGGGAGGGAAAGGAAGCCAGATGGAGCAGAAGGAGCAGTCACCCTCAATGCCAGCTCTGGGACAGCGTCGGCTGGAGTCAGCATAGCCCTTCAGAACTGTCCTGGGTTGGACTAAGATGTCCAAGTCTTTCTTTATTTTTTTTTTCAATATATGAAATTTATTGTCAAATTGGTTTCCATACAACACCCAGTGCTCATCCCAAAAGGTGCCCTCCTCAATA